TGGCTTGGCGCGTTGCGTTTACGGTCCACGATTCGCAAAGGAGCATGAACGAACGGTGGACCAGGGATGGATATTGACGACATGACGTGACTCCGGTGATGGCTCGGTTTCTTTTTCTCTACCTGGGGCTGATGGGTGAGCAGGGCAAAACGGTGTCTCGAGCCTTATGTATAAGGTTCGGGGCTGAACTGGCGAGGTAGTAGTGTTTTGGCGGCCTTCAGGGGATATGATAATGCCTGTCTCCTCTTCCATCACATCATCAAAGACGAGGACGTTCTTGGTGGGCGGTAGAAATGGGTAAACATGTCATCAATTGACAAGCATATTCTGGTACCAAGACAACTACACTGAGTGATGAAAGACCCGCTTATGTGCATGTGTCTCTGCGCTGTACAAGGCATGCTTTAATGCGGGCTTTGGGCTCGCTCCTTCATGAGTGAGACACCCCCTAAGCCTAAGCCGTCTACCGCTCTTGCTCCCATGCCGCCTTGAACACTTTCACCAGCCTCTCCGCCTCCCGCTCATCTCGTATCCGCTGCAGCACAAACCCCTTCAGATCGTCCCAGAACTCGGCTCCAGCAACGACTTCCCTTCCGCTCGGGCCCTGCGCCGTCGACGCCGTTCCCGCATCTTCCTCGGCTGCACCTGCACCTGTACCTGCACCCAATCCCTTCTCCGCCTCACTAGGCACCACAGCCGGAGGACTCGCCACAGCACCAGCATCACCACCTCCTCCTCCACCGCCCCCACCACCTATGACCATAACCGTGAACTCGACAACGCCCTCGCCGCTCGCCGCGCCCGCCCCCTCGCCAACGACTTCAGCCACCGTCTTCGTGTCTGCGACGGGTTTCTTTTTGTACAGGATTTTGAGCTTGGTGGTGGGGATGGAGGAGGCGCGGGCGTAGGCGGCTTTTAGGTCGTAGATCGAGGTTGTGAGCGGGTTGGTGGAGGGGAGGGGGAGGATGGGGGTGTTGGCGGTGGGTTTCATGGGTTTGAGGGTTAGGGTGAGGGTGGGGGGGGAGGGGGGAGAGGTTGAGAGAGAGGTGGAGGCATTGTTCGAGGAGTCGGTCGCGGGTTTGGGGACGGGGCGGAGTGGGTGGCGTGGGTGGGGGAGGCGTGGGAGGAAGAACTAGAAGGGGATTAGCTTTGGATTTTGCAGATTGTTAGATGGATGGGTGGGTAGATAGGCGGGTGAGCATGTAGGTATATGCTTAGAAGAGGGAGGGGAGAGTGCAAGACGTACGGCGCCGCCGGCAGGCAGTTGGCGGGGGTCGGCGATGTGGTCCGACGACAGCTTGATCGGGCGAGTTGTCAAGGCCGTGAGGTATTGTTTGCAGAAGGTGAGTTCGGACATGGTTGGACGGTCGTGGGTGGTCTGCGGAGGTGGAGAGGCGGCACAGAAGGTCGAAAGCGACGATGACGCTGTGGTGTTGCGGAGAGAGGGAGCGGGACAAATACTGCCGGGCGCCGAAGGCGGTGAGCCGAACTTTTCGAAATTTCGGCTGCGCGAGACGCCAAAAGTTCGGACGCCCAGTTCAGTTCAGTTCAGTTCGACAACGTTACCGTCGCAAGCTACATACACTTCTCTCCCCACGAAAATAACGCCCACGAACCGCCAACATGGGTCAAGGTCGGCGCATGAAGAAGCAGGGCATGCCGGGGCCGTTGGACGAGTCGCTGGTTACACGGAAACGCAAAGATGCTCCGCCGGCGCCGGTGCAGGAGCCGAGCAAGCGGCGGAGGAGGGGCCAGAAGGAGGCGAAGAAGAATGCAGCTGCGGTTGCAGTCAACGGAAGGGCTGGCGCTGTGAAGAACGGGAGGCCTGCGAAGAAATTGCCTGGGAAGAAATTTGTGCCGCCGCCTGTTGCCGACGACGAGATCGCGAGCGAAGACGACGCCGACGCTATGGAAGATGCTGGGGGCGAGGTCAAAGTCACTGGACTCGATGCCCTGGGCAGCGCCTCTGAGGACGACGACGAGTTCGCCGCGTCTGGGTCAGATGGCTTCGACTCGGACTCTGAGGTCAGGAAGACGGGCATGTGGTCCGACGATGAGGACGACGATGCCGTCGAGGAACAGCTCACAGCCGCCAACATCGAGGGTCTCACGCGGAAACTGGACATGCAGAAGGCTGTTGAGGAAGCCGAGGCCCAGGCAGAACTGGAAGAGGCCGCGCTGCAGACCAACATCGCGGGGGACAAGCCCAAGGTGCTGGACGACGAAGAAGACGAAGAGGGGCGGCCGATCACGAATCTCGGGACGCAAGATCTGCAGCTGTTGAGGCAGCGCATCAGCGACACGATCCGCGTGCTGGACGACTTCAAAACGCTGGCCGAGGACGGCAAGTCCAGAGTCGAGTACCGCACCCGGCTACTGAAGGACATCTGTGCATACTACGGCTACTCCGAGTTCCTCGCCGACAAGTTCCTCAACCTGTTCCCCGCGCGCGAAGCCTTCGCCTTCTTCGAGGCCAACGAAACCCCGCGCCCCATCGTCATCCGCACCAACGGCCTGCGCACCTCGCGGCGCGAGCTCGCACAGGCGCTGATCAACCGCGGCGTGCAGCTCGAGCCCGTGGGCAAGTGGTCCAAAGTCGGTCTTCAGATCTTCGAGTCCCAGGTCCCGCTCGGCGCGACGCCGGAGTACCTCGCGGGCCACTACATCCTGCAGGCGGCGTCGTCGTTTCTGCCCGTCATGGCGCTTGCGCCGCAGGAGCATGAGCGCGTGCTGGATATGGCGGCTGCGCCCGGCGGCAAGACGACGCATATTGCGGCGCTGATGAAGAATACCGGGTGTATCTTTGCGAATGATGCGAATAAGGACCGTTCGGTGAGTGGCGTGGCGGCTGTCTCGTGCTGTGAGTGAGTTGGAGCTAATCCGTCTGGTAGAAAGGTCTCATCGGCAACATCAGCAGATTGGGCGTTTCGAACGTCATTGTGTCGAACTACTCGGCGCTGGAGTTCCCGAGGGTTATGGGCGGCTTCGATCGGGTGCTGCTCGACGCGCCGTGCAGTGGGACGGGTGTGATTGCAAAGGATAGCAGCGTCAAGACGAAGTAGGTCGCCGCGTGTATTCGGGATATGAATTGTGGCTAATTGGGACAGCAAAACGGAAGCCGATTTCATGAGGTTGCCGCACTTGCAGAAACAGCTCATTCTGGCCGCCATAGACTCGGTCGACCACAGCAGCAAGACTGGCGGGTATATCGTGTACTCTACCTGTACGTCCTCATTCTCCCTACTCCCAGCCATCAATTCCGTCTAAACCATGCACATAAACTAATCGACATTACACATACAGGCTCGGTGACAATCGAAGAAAACGAAAGCGTGGTCCAGTACGCGCTCAACAAGCGGCCCAACGTGCGCCTCGTGGAAACAGGCCTCAGCTTCGGCACCCCGGGCTTCACCAACATGCAAAGCAAGATCTTCCACCCCTCGATGAAGCTCGCGCGTCGCTACTACCCGCACACGTACAACGTCGACGGCTTCTTCGTCGCTAAGTTCAAGAAGATCGACGTCACGCCTGCGAACGCCGTCGGTGCTAACCACACTCCTGCCAATGGAAACGGGAATGCGAACGGCAAGTCGGACGCCGTGGTTGTGCAGGATGTCGTGGACAAGACGCCTATTACGGAGGAGGGTGATGGCAGTGATGGGGATGGCGATGCGTTTGGCGGCTGGGATGAGGATGAAGATCGCGTGATTATGGAGCGTGCGGAGAGGGCGCTTGCGAGAAGGAAGGGCCGGAATCCGAAGGCCGATGTTAAGAAGGCGAAGGTGCCGGAGAAGAAGAAGAGTGCTGGGGGTGAGGCTGAGGGTGAAAAGGGGGTGCAGAAGCTGGCGGAGGGGTTGGATGGGGCGAGCTTGGAGGGGCATAATGGGAGTGTTGAGGATGGTGGTGGTGGTGCTAGGGGCGTGGAGCGCAAGGAGAGGGGAGGGGAGAAGAAGACGACGGAGAAGAAGGAGAAGGCGAAATCCAAGTCGCGGAAGACGAGTGGAGTGGTGGGGAAGGGGAAGGTGGTGTAGGGCTATGTCATGTCATGTCATGTCATGTCATGTCATGTCATGGTGCTCTCTGTCTCTCCCTCTCTCCCTCTCTTTACCTCCCTTCGTAGAAGTCGAAACATTATCTGGAAAAAATTCGCTTTGGCTCAACTTGGCTTTGCTTTGCTTGCTTGCGTGTAAAAAGGAGTGGTGTGTTTGGTTTGGTTTGGTTTGGTCTGGTTTAGATGGGGGGTTTTGTTTGTTTGTTTGTTTGTGCTAACTACAACGAGATACAGAGAGATGGATAGTTGGGGGAACTTGTGGTGGTCTATATATGTGTGGGGTTTTTGATGTGGTGATTGATGCATATGAGGATGCGGGCAGGTAGGTAGGCAGACAGGTGTTGGGCTTTGCTGGGTTCGTTGAGTTCGATTTCGGTTTTCGATTTCGATTTCGATTCAGCGTGTGGGGTTGTGTTGTGTTGTGTTGTGTTGTGATAGCAGTAATAGTCATAATAGTCCGGTATACGCGTTATCTCCATGCCGTGTCATATCATACCATGTCTATATTATATATATATATATATATTTTTTTTGCATAGGATACATTGCCGTGTACAAGTAAGCTTGTCCTTAAGTCTTGCCTTTGTTGTTGTTCTTGATCTCGGTTTTCGTCTCTCGAGTCCTCGCGTCTCAATAAGCGCGCGAAGTCTTTGGATCTTAGTCTCTAGTATTAATTGCAGGGCGAGGACCTACATACATACATACGTGTGTAGATAAAGTTCTAGCATCGCTTGCTCTCAACTAGACTACACTACCTAGACTACGAGATGCTAGGTAGAAGGGGAATAGTGTATGTAGACGATACTTATACCGACGCCAGCGTAAGAGCAGCGCTGCACCGAACTTGATATAGCAGCAGCTAAATACAACGGTCCAGTCCCATCTGGCGAACCAGTTCAGCTCCGCTCCGTCCCCATCTCCCAAACAGCATCTCGCACATGTATGGTATGGCCGGCGCTCAAGAATCGCACTTGGGTCTTCCTCCTAAAAAGAGGACGTCTTGCCACTAGACGACACCGACGGGTTGCAGAGAGAGAGAAATGCTGATGGGTGGATGGAAGCGCGGTGTGCTGGTTGCTGGTGGACGAGGTGAGGTCGTGGGTGTGTGTGTAGACGATGGCGATGGCTACTCAAAGCCGAAGGGGGATTTACGGACTGGGCTGGGGGAGGGAAGGAAGGAGGGAAGCGGGTGGCGGGAGCGGAGCTGAGCTGGGGATCGTTAGATCGAGGACAATATTACCTCTTTGGCTGTTCGGAGAAGGGTTGGGTACCTACCGCCGCCTACGTCATCGCCGCTACGGAGTAAACTTGCTGCGAATATCAGACTGTATGTACCAATATCAGACAGTATGTACCTGGCGTCTTGCGCTCTTGGACAGTCCCTATTATTTGCGCCATCAATCCCATTATATACCACTCACAACGACGACTGACGCTCCAGCATCAGCCTCGATTATACAGCCACGCGATTGTTTGCCTGATGCGATGCGATGCTCTGCGGGCGTCGAGTCTGTTGGAGCGGCGGCGTGGGAAGCCGAGAGGAGTTAGTGGAGCTAGGCTAGATGAGGCTTAGCGGCGGACTTGGCCGAGCGATCTGGGGTAGAGCCCGGGCAGGATTCGAGCGCGTGACGTGACGTGACTGACGGGACAGCGACTGTGAGCTGAGCTGAGCGGGACAAAGATGGGACGGACATGTGATGGGGTGAGATTCAAGATGGCGAGCCGCCACCGCTAGCAAGACTTCAGGCTTTCGCTAGGCCGAGCATCAGCATCCGCGAGCTGGACGCTCAGTCTGATCCTCACCCCCAAAGCAAACCTGGAAGCAACAAGCACGCCCAGGCCACCTCGGCTGGCCGTGGCATTGGCCCAGCCGCCAGCATCACGAGGACAGCACTCGGCGTGAGGGGACAAGCAACGTGGTGACGGAGGTGGAGGTGGCACAGAAACATGGCTCGCGCGGGCAGCTCCCGCAAACAATGGGCTCGGGCATCATGTTTGTCGAGCTGTTGAGCTGTTGAGCTGTTGAGCTGTTGAATTTGCAAAGGTACTGCGTGGTGTCTCGATTGTCCGCTCCTTCCCCATTCATCGGTCGACCGAGAGGCTGCGACGTTTTCTCCGCACTAACCATCGGCCCATGGCGTGTCGTCCGAAGTCTGCAACAATGACGTCGCGCCGCTGGATCCGGCCTCGCGTGGCTGGCCGCATCCCGTGCACCGCGACGAACCTCGACAACCCTCTTCTTTGTCCAAGAACCCCAAGACGGACCGAACGGCGATCCTATTGGTCACCCGCCTCCTCAAAGTTGCCGCGCTGCAGCATCTCTCGCCGCCGACGCACACCGTCCCCCGTTGACAAGCCCCCGTGGATCTGGGGAAATGCGCCCCCTCAACGCCTCTCTGCCATGGCCGTGCTGCCATTCGAGAATCGGGCGGGCCATTGCATCACCACGCGTCTTGCCGTCTTCCGCGATCTGGCATTGGTCACGCCGGGCACGCGTGTCAAAGAGCGGCGTGCCCTGTCCGAGATGCGCATGTGTGTATGCGTGAGCAGGGGCGGCCATTTGCGGGGGACCCACCCGGCCGCTCTTCAGATAAAGAGCGTGATGCGCGCTCCCACGGAACACAGCACTTCCCACGCGTTGTGATCTTGGAGCCTCATCACTCTGTTTATCCTACACCGCTGACACTATGCCGGCTTTTGGGCTCAAGAAGCCCGACAATGTGCCTGGCGCAACATGGTACGTTCTAGTAGCTACACATGGCTTCGCGAGCTCGCACGGCTAACACGCTGCAGGCCAGCCATTGCCATCGGCCTGTTTGTGGCCTTTGGAGGTGTCCTCTTCGGGTCAGTATACACAAGTCCTACCTGATATGCGACCGATCTAACGCGTCGTGGCAGATATGACACCGGTACCATATCTGGCATCATTGCCATGCCATACTGGAAGCAGGAATTCGCAACCACCGCCGATGGTACCCTCACTGCCTCCGAGGATTCCTTGATTGTCTCTATCCTGTCAGCCGGTACCTTCTTTGGCGCTCTCACTGCGGCTCCCTTTGGTGATCTACTCGGTCGTCGAATCGGCCTCATGGTCTCGGCCGGTTTGGTCTTCAATTTCGGAGTCATCTTGCAGGCTGCCGCTACTGCCCAGCCCATGTTCATTGCTGGGCGATTCTTTGCTGGTTTCGGCGTTGGTCTGATATCGGCTCTGAGTAAGTACCTAATGACCGGCCTCCGCGTTTCGTGCTAACAGTTGAAAGTTCCCATGTACCAGTCCGAAACTGCGCCTAAGTGGATTCGAGGGAGTATCGTAGGAGCATATCAGCTCGCCATCACCATTGGCCTGTTACTGGCAGCTATTGTGAACAACTCTACGAAAGACCGCATGGATTCTGGCTCGTACCGCATCCCAATCGCTGTTCAATTCCTTTGGTCCATCATCCTCGTTGGCGGTCTTATCTTCCTGCCCGAGACGCCCCGTTACCTCATCAAGATGGATAGGTACGACAAGGCGGCCAAATCTCTCGGCAAATTGCGCCGCCTCCCCGTGGACCATCCTGCCGTTCTCGAGGAACTGAACGAAGTCCAGGCAAACCATCTCTATGAGATGAGTTTGGGCAAGTCGACCTATGCTGATTGCTTCAAGGGAACCTTGGGCAAGCGCCTTTTGACCGGCTGCCTTTTGCAAAGTCTCCAGCAGCTGACTGGTGTCAACTTCATCTGTACGCATATCGATACCGATTCTCTTTGTACGTCTGACTGACAGCAATTAGTTTACTACGGAACTCAATACTTTGAGAATGCGGGTTTCAAAAACGCATTCACCACCCAAGTCATCACGAACAGCGTAAACGTCGCCTCGACCTTCCCCGGTCTGTACATGGTCGAGAAGCTCGGCCGCCGCAACCTGCTCTTGATGGGAGCCATCGGCATGTGCGTGTGCCAATACATCGTTGCCATCACCGGCACTGTGGCCGGCACGACCGATCTGGCTGCACAGAAAACCGCGATTGCATTCGTGTGCATCTACATCTTCTTCTTCGCGAGCTCGTGGGGCCCGGTCGCCTGGGTCGTCACGGGCGAGCTGTTCCCGCTCAAGGCCCGCGCCAAGTGTCTCTCCATGACGACGGCGAGCAACTGGCTGCTCAACTGGGCCATCGCCTACAGCACGCCGTACATGGTTGACGAAGAGCACGCCAACCTGCAAAGCAAGGTCTTCTTCGTCTGGGGCACCTTCTGCTTCGTGTGCATTGCCTTTGTGTAAGTAGTAACCGTACCCTCCCACACACATACTCGCGCTCCGTTCCGATCCGATCCGATCCGTTGCCACCAACGCTAACACTCGCATCCCCAGCTTCTTCATGATCTACGAGACAAAGGGCCTCTCGCTCGAACAGGTCGACGAGCTCTACGGCGTCGTCAGCAAGGCGTGGAAGTCGAAGACGTTCCAGCCTCAATTGCACTTTGCCGATATGGACCATGATGCGCAGCGCGGGCAGAGCCTTACGGATATTGCGCTGAATCAGGAGCGTAAGCGGAGTGTGCAGCATGATGAGGCGCTGAGTGCGGGGGTCACGAGCGAGAAGGTTTAGGAGCTTGGGTGGTGGGGTGAGGTGCTGTTGGGAGTATGTGGTGTGATGGGATGATGAGGAGGAGGAGGGGGGGGAGGGGGGGAAACTTGAGCTGAGCGGAGGGGGGAGTGTGGTTTCGTAGTTGATTAACGAATTATTGATGTTGATGCAAAGTATGTATGGAAGCAATACCCAACCGACCATTATGGCGCCGCTGTGTTTTCCGTATTCGTGCCCCGTGGTCGGTTGGAAGCTGCTTACCACACTCACTAACTAACTACAATGTTAGTTGTTGTGTTACGTAGCAGATGCACCCTAGATATCACCTCATCATCTCAATCCTTCATCGTGCATTCACACCACTCGCTTCCGCTTCCGCTTCCGCGTCGGTTATCATAATATACTAAAATTCCTACAAATTATGTATGGGATGGTTTCTTCAACGGTGGGGTTAGGTTAGGTTAGGCTAGGCTAGCGGGGGCATACTGCCTTCCTGTAGGTTTTTTGCTCGATGGCAAGGCCATGTGCGAGGCGAGGCGAGCTGGGTTAAATTGAATAGAATTGAATAGAATTGGGCGTAATAGGGGCTGGGTTGGGAGAGGATGGGGTTTAATAGGGGCTGGGATAGGGGTTGGGCTTAGGTGAGGGAGAGGCGAGGGGGGGAAAACTAGTAAAGTAGGCAGAGTTGTATATTTATATATATAGCACTTGGCTGTAGATGTGGATAGTTGCGTGTAGATTAAGTTAACGAACGGTGAGGGCAAACTGGTTCCGAAAGGGGCGGTCGTTTGTTCGTTTTCGTTTTGATTGGTTTGGTGGGTGGGTAGTAAAGGAGAGGGAGGGAGAGGGCGAGGGAGGAAAGTGTGTCAGTTAGGTGGGTGGGTGGTTGGTTTGGTTTGGTTTGGATTTTGCGTTGGGGGTGTGAATGCGTGTGGAGTGTGAATGCGTGTGGAGTGTGAATGGACTGGTAGCTTGTGTGTGAATGTGAAGTGTGAAGCGTGAATGTGAATGTACTTGTAGCATGTAGCTTGTATATGAAGTGTGAATGGATGCATTTGATTGGGCTTTTTTGGGTGTGCGTGTGCGTAGAGAGAGAGAGAGATGGCACAGGCAGCTTAACTCGGTTTGGTTTGATTTTGTAGCCTTCTACTGCACAGGCACCTTTGTTTAACCCTGTTATACCTTACCTTCCTTGGTCTATCCTATCCTATTGTCTTCTATTGCATTCTGTTCTGTTCTGTTCAACAGTTATGTCTGTGCTTTAAGGGGAGCGAGAGAGTTAAGTTAACTCAAGTCGCTGAGTACCCTGAGTGATACTAAGTGCGACAAACAGACAGGCGGATAAAGAGCTGGCTGCGCGAGCTGAGCGGCTGCGGGATACATTATCTACCTCTGACGTTCTCTCCTTGCCTTCGTAATACTTCGGGGGAAGGAATGCCTAGTAGGACTG